GAGTACGGTATCTTTTCAGCCTTTACCACTGTATCAAAGTTGGTTGGCCAACCACTTCTGCAAGGGGAAGAAAGACAGCAGCAAACTTATACGCAAGAAGTGAGGATGAAATTCCAGAAACCTTAGAAAAGTGGAATTAAGTATTCCATATCATTGGTTAGGTCCTTAGACAAGGCCATTCTCTGAATTCTTCTTCTTTCTAAAGGAATTGATGCTTATAGACTCTCCTTGCTGAATATATTGTAGAACAGATGTCAGATTAGCTATTAGCAAGTAGAAATTGCCTTTTTAAAAAATATTATTATTATTATTATTGTTTTAGTGAAGGAATCCACTATCTGTTTAATGATGATGATACAAGCAAACTTCTTTCTGTAGTAGGCATGTCATGACTAGGAGTAGCTTTAACAGGAATGTGTCAATACATTGCTAAAGCTTGCAAGCAAATGCAGGCATCCAGAGAAAACACAGGTTGAAATTTGTGCTTCTAAATCTTACTGATGCCGCATGGCCTAGCTGGGATGGGGAAACATTGGATGTGCTGGGCACCCATGGTGGGGACAGTCTTGAGACAAGCACAGTTTTCTGAATATTGAAGTGTATTTCCCAGTTCCCAGTCTGACACCCAGCTGCCCTCCATGCAGGGGGAGGAAGGCAGCACTTTGGAAAATGCAGCTGCCTTAAGTGCTTAAATGACAGCTCCTCTGACTTCGACAGCTGGACTATCATATATGTCATTATGTTTAAAATTAGTGGTTGGGAAAGAATTACGAGGCAAAAAAAGAGAGATTAGTTCAGATAAATAAAATATAGAGCAAGCTTCTTTCCAGTCAGTTCAGACTCTTCAGGGAATTGCCTCACCTAAAAGGATGTCTTCCAGATTCCTTCCCTCTCATCTTCCTTATGAGATAGTTTTCCTCCCCCAGGAGGAAAGCATGTCTTTGTGGCTCGGGCCATCGAGAATATCCTTCTGTGTGTGGCCCAAATGGCCTTTTTGCCTTGTAACTTAACACCTGCTTTTATTCATTGTGAAATGATTTTAAATGTTTTTTTAGTAAATGTGACAGGCAGTGTATTATGCACTGTCGTCTTTTATTTACTCCCATAAAGCATTATGGAATACAGTTAGTATGTGACATTCAGGATACTGTGTAATACTTCATTACATTGCATTGCAACATGGGACAGTTCTCTGCCTTGAAAGACACACTGTCCTTTCCTTTGCTTATACTTTTTTTTAAGTTTTTTTTATCCTGACTTTCCACTTGCCTAGTGTGTGATTTCCATGACTTCCCCCAGTGTATCTGATGAGGGCAATGCTTGTCTGCTTGGAAAGGTCTTATTTTAATCCCATATCTTTGTTGATACAAGAAGTACAGGAGTTGCTTACATCTCCTCAAGCTGTTTCCCAGATGCTTGATGATTCATGAGAGGCCAACCTCGTGAGAGCGAGTTTATGTTGACTGTGTTCCTGTGTCTTCTAAGCCAGATAACTCTGTGAAATCCCAGTGAAAATCCCCTTAGAAAATTATAGCATATTTGGTTCCAGTGCAGGCCACACCACTTCAGGTCGTAATCTAGCACAAAGTGAGGGAGGTGAGAGGGAATCCAGCTCCTGAAGAGTCTACTCCAGTGTCAAGTGAAGGCACTGAGTAGCTTTAGATTTCATCTCATGTGGGCTATAGAAACAGTATTTATGGCTTTTCTCATGAAACATATGTTCTTCCCTTGTGGAAAAGGCATGTCCTCAGAGTGCAATATTTGGATATCTCTTACTTTACTATAGTGAGAATTTCCTTCCCGTGATTCTCTCCAACCTCTCCTCTATGATAACTTTATAATTCCTGTATTACCATGATAGAAATAATAAGTCATTGTGCTTTGATTTTTAAGCTTTGTAACATGTGCAGCTCTATTGCTTCATGTACCTGTTCAACTCAGATACTGCAGAGCTGCTCCAACCATGACATTTCATCATTAGTCTTGGTCAGGTGTGATTGACTTCCTGACAGAGCACCACAGTCTGTGAAATTCAGAGTTTAAGTTAAATTAAGAGCCATCACAGACCCTATCTTCTTGGTGTACAAGAGCACAGTAGTGTGCATTCTCAGCTGGTGTGCTGAGTTAAGTGCACAGATGTTTTGTTTGGGGGTATATGTATGAGCACATTTTAGAGATACTGTCCCCCAGAATCTCAGCAGGGTAAAGCCTGTGCGAGGACTGTCTGGGAAAGGGAAACCTTTCCCTCAGAAGCATGAATCACATTGACCTACACAGTGAAATGCATGGTGATAGAGGGAAAATGGCAAGAGTTTTCTGTCCAAGAAAGAAGAGTAAAGAACTCTGAGGCATAGGATGAGTTATGCCATGTTTTACTGCAGTAACTTTTGTTCTGACTTAGGGAATGGTTGCTTCACTAAAAACTGCGGAATTTGTTATCATCAAAACTGTTTTATTTTTATCCCTTTTCTTGGACATTTTGCACATAGTCCTGTGAAATATCTTTTCCTCTTGGTGGACTGGGTGTTTTTAAAGTCCAAAGGTCCTCATCATTTTAGTAGGAACTCAGTAGTGTTGGCTGGACATTTTGTTTCATTCCAAATTAGGGGGAAAAAAACCCACAGTTGTCTTTTTCCTCTTTTTTTTAGAATAAAATAAAATGAAAAACATATTCCAGCATAGATGTCCCTGATGAAAATTGCAACAAAATTAATAGGTGGGTGGTCTTTATTTTCACCAATTGTCACTTTTCCAATGCAAATTATTTGGTCAAAATAGAACAAAACAAAACTGGGTAGGTCTGCACTTTGTGAGCTAGGTCTGTATTTGCTTAGAAAGGGTGGCTCAGTGTGAAAGCATCTTAGAATGATGTTACAATTAGGTCTTTGGAGATAGTTTTACAGGAAATGAAGACTTTTATCATCTAAGTTTCAGGTTGTTTGGAGGCTAGAATTATTGCCCTGTCAGAAGAGTACAATGAACTGCTGACATGCAACCACGCTTTGCTTACAGCTGCGTGCAGGGAAGTATTTACAGCAAGGAACCAGTGAAAAGCAACCTGAAAAAATAGATGTACTTACTATGAAGTTTGTACCATTTCTCTGGGTTCCTGTTTTTAATGAGTGTTTTATGAAAAAAATATATTTATTTTATATGAAGAACTTGGAAAACTTCAGTCAAATGTTAGATTTTATTTTAAGAGTGAAAACTTAGATTACTGTGTGTGACAGATGGCTGCCAAGGGTTGCTTACTTTGGTTTTGTATTTCCAACAGTCACAGAGCAACTTGGTGGGAGATACTTTTCCCCCATTTGCTATTCCTCATCAGCCAAATTCAGGAGAAGGCACCAATTTTCTATTTCTGTTGCTTGTAGTGGAACTAGAGGTTGATCTGGCATTCAGCAGAGGACTAGAGTGATGTTCAGTTCAAGATAAAGACACCAGAGTTTAAGTGTTTACATGAAAGCAGTGTCCAAGTTCATGTATTAAGTAGAAATTTGGTCAATGCCGTTGGGTGGCTGTGTGTAACTCCTACAGTCTGTGTTGAGAAGGGGCTCGGATTGCCCACATGCAGGTGACTTTGTGAGACACTACGGCTTCCATTGGACCTTTGCTGGGGGCTGCTGGATGTGCTGCTGGACGTGCTGCTGGACCTCCTTGTCCTCATGGAGGCCAGACAGGAAAATGTACTATGTCTTAAAGGTGGTTAGGCATCTCTCTGCGAGTGATTGAACTGAGCCCTAGATTTCCACATATCACCTAGGGAAGGAACACAGATAGCTGTCCCACTGGTGGAGGCTCAGAGCTGAGTGTCTTGGCTTCCCAGGGAAGTAGTCACAGCACCAAGCCTGACAGAGTTCAAGAAGCATTTGAACAATACTCTCAGGCACATGGTGTGACTCTTGGGAATGGTCCTGTGCAGGGCTAAGAGTTGGACTCGATGATGCTTGTGGGACTCTTCCACAGTATATTCTGTGATTCTGTGATTCCATGACTGGGAACTGAAACCTGCTGTGATCCGCATGTTGTCTTGGAGCCTTCTGATCCTCAAAATTTTCCACACTGAAGTTGTCGAGGCACAGAAAAATGGTTGTTTGCAGTTCTTTGATGCTGGGAGCCAAATTCCAGTATCAGAAACAGATGGACAATGCAAGTGCATGGTGCTACTGAGAAGGCATTTTGACTTTTAGAGAGCTGGGTCTGGCCACAGTTCCTGTTATCCTTGGAGCCCGGGATTTACAGCAGCAGAGGCTTTACCTCAGTAGAAGTAAAACTTTAGGAACAATTGAATATTTGCTCAGGCAGAAGCTGTGGAATTTTAATTAAATAAAGACTTGGCTATTTGTCTTGAAGTTACTCGCTAAGGTGGTTGTTGGGACAGAATCTGACCTCAGTTACATCAGTATAAGCATGGAATAGCTGGCTGTGTTAATCATCCATTAGCAGCAAATGATTCACACCATATAAATAAAATGAAAACGTGACCTAACAAATGTTTTTGGGAGGAAATACTTAAGCACAGTAAACAAACTTAAATTCACTCATATGCACTTTCTTGCGGCTCTTTATTGGTGCTTTTGTTCAGAGGGCATTTCTCCCCAAAGCACCAAATTTGGGAAGCAGGGTTGTTTGTCTTTTTTACTTCAGTCTGTCTTACTTCATTGTTCTCAAGCTTGCAGCTTTTATTAAAGTTTAATTCTGTTTTAAAATCAAAATGGTGAGAATGAAATTATATAATCAATATAAATGTAAAAATAATTATATATTTCTTGTAAAATAAAGAGTACGTATACCTGAGTTCTGTTGTTCTTACTGTTTATATGGGATTAAATTAAGAGAAAATGCACTGTACTTCCTATCTAATGAAACTGCTTCTAGACCCAACTTTTTAAAGACTTTAAATGAAAATAATTTTTGCTGTGTTGTATAACCTGTTGTGTTTTTTGCCTTCCTGTAACTGGAACAACATACTAATTTCTACAAGTTGTGACTACTAACAGAGAGCAATCACCTCACAGACTTGTACCGAAAAGAAGAGACCATCAGCGTGGCAGGGAATGGCTGCATCCACAGTCCTCGCTTCCCCAGCAGCTACCCCAGGAACCTCCTACTGACGTGGCGGCTCCACTCCCCAGAGAGCACCAGGATCCATCTGGCTTTTGATAATCAGTTTGGACTGGAGGAACCTGAAAATGATATCTGCAGGTGAGTGGCAAGTGGAAGTTTGCAAAGGTCTCCTTAATACCACCTTCAAGCTCACTGGCATGAGACCGCAGACCAAAACCTGGGCATCTCTGGCCAGGTCTAGGTTGTCCTTGCTTGAAGGACAGACCTTGGACAGACCAAGTATCCCCTTTTGACTGAAATTGGTTTTTAAGTTTATAAATAAACTGAGCTTTCCTGGACCTGAAGCAGTTTTGGCAGGTTTTAATCCTTCTATAATATTTTAAGCACAAGGTACTTGTATGCTCAAATCCAACAACCTAACAACATAGATACTACTTTAATAGGATTTTGTCCTCTATCACCTCTGTCATGTTTCAGCCAGACAAAAAACATCTTTTTCAGTAGGTGGAAGGCTCTGGGAGGTGTGAATAAATAGGTAAGTGTTTATATTGGGGTGTGAGGAACAAATAAAAATGCATTAAAAAATATAAGTATGTTCTTCAAATTACTTACTTGTCTTTATTGTTACTCTTCACTGGTACAGTTTCTTTTAAAACCTTTAAATGTAGTCCACAAACATCAGTGTACTGATGCATACTTATATATTTATTTATCTATTTATGTATACTCTACTATATCCCAGTTGCTTTGGTTCCCCTTTTAAGCAAAAGTGACCTTAAACTCAGTTGATCTGGCTGATTAACCTAGGTGGATAAACTGCTTGGCATTAGCAGAGTACAGAGGTGAACCTTGCTAAAATTCACTAAAACACTGTAAATCTATTGAGTTTTTGTTTATATTTCTTTTATTTGTCTATCTGTTCTGTGGGAGAGAGCAGGCTCGGGATTCCTGTGTGCTCCAAAAGGCAGATTGCTGTGATGCTACTCACATAAAATGCTCAAGTCTCAGTTTCCAACTCTACCTGATCATGTTGTTACTTACAGCTTATCTGTGCAGAGAACTGGGTTGTTAGGGTTTCTGCACATCCAGCCTCTTCTTATCTTATCTTCTTTGTCAATTAATTTGTGTTCATTGGGTTTGACAGTTCTGCAGGGGTTTTACAGGGTGTATTTTTTTCCCTCTTTTTTCTTTGTTAGATTTTCTGCATCACCAATAAAGAGAACCATTCCTGCAGGTTTTTTTTTGATTTAGTAATAAAAGAATGCAGCCTAAAACTGGCTCTCCTTCCCTGCTCCTTGGCAGGTCTACTATGCTCTGGTGCTATTGGTCCAAGATCAGCAGCAGAGTCAGTAACAATAGTTACCTCCCAGTACCCCAAATGCTTTCCCAGATTCAGAGCCTAAATGCACACAGAAGCAGCCTGTTAATATTTACATAGTGGATAAACTGTGGCTGACCTTAAAGCATTGCAACTTTGAAACAGAGGGCCAATTTACTGTGGAAAAAAAGATGAAGTATTCTCTGTCAAAAGCCAGTAAAGGTGGTGGCACAGAGAGGGAAAGTCAAGCTGTTGCTGGCATTATGGATTTGGAGACCATCTTGGAAGACAGTCTACCTGCTTTTTCCAGAGCAGTTAATTTAGGATGCAGAGAGAAGCCAAGACCTTAAATCATCAAAATTGTCTATAGAAGCTGGAGAAATATCACATCCTTTTCTGCAATAAAGCTTTCCCTAGTTTCTGGAAGACCTTTATTTTGGTAGTATTACTTCCAGAGTGAGGAATTTCTTGGACAGACAGCTTGTGATGTCTTTAAACCCATTAAGTACTGTGTGCAGTTAGGGTTTTTGCTAATGCTCAATATATTTTTCAACACTAGTTCCTTTCTGCAACTTCAGTCCCTGACAATCCCTGCAGTGCTGCTTTAGAGGGACAGCCAGGCATGTTTTAATTGAAATGAATGCTTAGAGCTGAGCATATGCTTGAAGGCTGTGCATACTGGACAAGTAATTCAGGACCTCTGCGTATTACCTTGCTTTTGTATTTGCTTTTGACCTCATACTTTTTTTCTCCAGAAACATCCTAGTGTTTTCTTTCAATTTTTCATTAATGCTAATTATTGTAATTTGCATACTATTAAGACTGAACTGATTGAAATTCATTCAGGCTGCAGAATGAAAAGGTATATTTTAGCAGAGCTATATTTCTTCTGAGCTTCTGAAGAAGGAGGGTAAATATTCAAGGTTTTATGGAATTTTCTAGAAGTGCTGTTAGCATTTCCACAGGCACTTGATAAGAGATGATTCTGAAAAGCAATTAAATTACCCAGCCTCTGAGGCTCCTTGGATGCACAGAGAATATACCTACTTCCATGATTGTTGCACAAAAGCCTCTGTTGTTGAAAGCAGAAATAATCCTTAAAAGTCCATGGATTTTCACTGGTTTTGCTACCAGTTATTCTGGCTTCTGGCCTCAAAGAGTGGGGGGGCCAGTCAGGACAGCTTTCACCAAAGCTTACAAGGTTATCTCATGCTGAACACTGCAACCCCCTATGTTACAATAGGCATTCACGGCTGCCTTGCTGCCTGGGGGGCAATGGTGGATGCTCTTGTGGGCAGCACAGAGCTCTGCTGGTACAACATCCATCACCATGAAGGAGTGGGAGCTGAGGATGGGGTGGGGAGAGATTGAGACAAGTCTACCTCTGCCTGGAACTTAATTTTGGTGTGTTACAAAAAAAGAATATTTCAGCAGAGTTTGGGCAGATGGAAGTGATTTGGTCATGGTGAATCTGTTATTTTCTGTTCTGTGCAATTTGGGATTGGTGAAAATAAAAGCAGCAGTGCTGATATTCTCAAACCACATAGTACTTGTGGTTTTTTTCTCATGGGTTCTCAGCAGAAAAGAATAGCAGGTCTGTTATTTACAGCTCCCACAACTGGGCAAGGAGGAGGGTGCTTGGCCCACAGGCCCAGGGCAGGGAGGAGTGCATTGCTAGCAAGAATCGGTTAACAGTCTTAAACTCCTTCTTTGAGGGAGGCGCTCTGATAATAGAAAGCTTTCCTGGTAAAGATCCCCAAAGTTTTGAGGCTCAATTGCACCATGATGATGGCACTCAACCTGCCCCTCTTGTCATCACCTCTCTCTCTCTGGCTGCAATGTGTGGAGTCTAATTCTGGCTTCACTGATACTGAGAAACTGTTTTTGTCATAGATGTAGTAAAATTAGAACTTTATTCTCTGCCTTCTTATTCTCCAGATCAATAAATGAATTCAATAAATGACCCAAACGAGTGAATACAAATGCTGGGGCAGCGAGTGCTGCTACTGTATCCCCTTATTGCTAGGGGTTAATGCCTGCTGCTCCTGTCAGATCCTTCTTTGGGCTCAGGGTGCCACTGCTGTGCCCCAGGTGCCTGGCTAAGTTGTGACCTTGCACAGGACAAGACATGCTGTTGCATTTTCCCTGGTGACAGCATCCATGTGAACAACAGAGTCCCCACCACAGCACACAGAGAGCCAGCATACTTTTCTGCTTGAAAGCTTGATATAAGTCTTTCCAAACCACCTACAGGAGTGCTGTGCCACCTACAAGGAAGGTGCTAAAAAGCGCCTTTCAGCAGCGTGCACTGCCCTGTGTCCTTCCAGCATCTCCCTTTGCTCCTGGCGCAGTGGCCACACAGCTCCAGCCCTGTGACTGACACAGCAGGCGGGATCCTTGTCTCCTGCTGTAGGGATTTGGGTGACCACCAGAAAGTACACAAGTGCTTGCAGCTGCTCAGCTTGGGCAACCTGCCTTAAATAATATTTTATCAGGTTTCTAAATTATTTACCCACCACATGAAACACAATGCGTATGCTTACTGTATACTAAGCACATGCAAGTGCCTCTCATTGCTATTTTAATGTGTTAGAAAATACTGTCTGTCATGTTCCAGGAGCCCAGAAATCACTCATTTGAGTACTCAGGCAGTAGCTTTCAGCTTAGTGTATTTTGTGCTGCACAAGCATGCCCACCATTTGTAATATTTGGTCTGATGTTTTGGAGTGGAGAACAGGGGACAGTTGTCTTTGTGTCTCCAGTTGTGCTCCTTCCCATTAATTTGCAACCACCCTCTGTAACCAGAATTAGCAAAAACTAATTATTCCTACTGGTTTTCAGGTATGACTTTGTGGAAGTGGAAGATGTATCAGAGACCAGCACAGTTATACGAGGACGGTGGTGTGGACACAAGGAAATACCTCCAAGAATAACATCAAGAACAAATCACATAAAGATAACCTTCAAATCTGATGACTATTTTGTGGCTAAACCTGGATTCAAGATATGCTACTCCCTTGTGGTAAGTCACCTAGGTGTGACAGGGGTGAGAGACAGATTGCAGTGTACATGAGAATCAGTACTTAGACTGGATGGTGTGTCTAACTGCATGGGATCAAAACAATAAATGACTTAAAGTATTTTCGTTACAGCAACTATATTAATACAGATGAAAATATTTTTTACATCCTGTCATTAAATATAAAGCAAAGTCAAGTTCAGTTCAAGATTTACCTGTAATAACATGTTTCAGAAGCACTAACATGTTCTACACTGAGGCTGCACTGCCAGTGCCTTGAGAGATCCTGCAGAAATAGCAAAGAAATGGCTGCTCTATGAACTCCTTTTTTATGTTCATTTGAGGTCAAATAAAAGTACACTGAGGTGTTATGGCTGTGATTCTCAGTTAGATAGAGTAGTTTATTCTGCATGCAATAAAACTGTACATGCAAGACAATTGTGCTAAGGCTCAGGCTGTATTTTTAACCAGATATAAACACACCTCTTTGTATATGCAGAAGCATTAGCAGTGTATTGTGTACTGTTTCAATGAGACCAAAACATCCTCCTATTTTTTTTGGATTTTGGTTTTGTTTTTAGGGAGCAGGAATGATCATTGCTCTAAGTAGATTTTGATACAAATATATATTCCTTTGTATTGTCCTGATTAATATTATAATGCTTTTGGTGCAGTGTAGCTCGAAAGAGACAGATTTTGCAAACACTCAGGAAATGGTAAGCATTAATTTATTATACTGTCATCATTGTATTTTCATATCCATCCCATTTCTTATCCCTTTTTATTCAATCCACTGTCATTTAACAAGAATAAGAAAGCCTGGAATAGCAATAATGCTGTAACAGGAGAGATCCATTGTTTGAGTCATTTCACTTCAACCTCTTGGCTTTGCATGCATGTGTGCCTAAGTGTGCTAAAAAGAGTCCATAAACAGCACATTCTCGAGACAGAGTAAAACTATGAAGATTGTGCTCCCTTACATTTAAATTGTTAGGCTTCTAGTGGAGTAAGTAAATCCTGAGCTCTAATTTACTCTAATTTAAAGGTAATCTACTAATACTCAAATTCAGACAGAACAGGCTATGAAAGACGACTGGGCATAAAAATGAGACAGTGAAGCAGCAGCCTCTCTTTATACTGCTTGCATTTCAGAGCAGCTGCAGAAACTGCTGCATTTAGCGAGTTTAATTCCAAACTGTGTGCAGATAGTCTGATAGTCAGACAGGCTTTCAAGAAAGTGAATATTATCACTCATAAGACACAAGACTTTCTGCACTGGAAAGCTCAGAAAAGGCTACTGTATTTATCTAATTTCAAAACTATGAGTAAACAGAGAATTTTTCAGTCTAGCAAATCTATTTACAAGAATAATCTCCATGTGCACTCTCTGAATGAAATACTATTTTATTTCCGAGAAGAGCACTGTACAGGTGATTAGTGGTACTTGCAAGATGGGGAATGATATGTACTTAGCTAGTTTTCAGAATCCAAGTGGTCCAACCTAAAAGTGCAGGATTAATATTCAGCAGAGTCAGCCCTTATTCGATAGTCCCCACAGTCAGAGCTCAGTTCATAGATGTGCTGAGCACTGCTGACCCCTGAAGGTTGAACTCACTGTGTGTTTCTAGACAGTAAACCAAGAAGCATAAATGAAGCATGCAAAAACATATGGTATTTTGTATGAGATGAAATGAAGGACCTTTACGTTGCTTTTTTTTCTTTCTTAATAACCTCTGAGACAGAGTTACTTCTGAGGGATTTCTTGGAAAATGGTGCTCAAAATATGTGCACATCTTTTACTCCCTTGTTTTTCTTATGTTTGGAGTTTGGATCTGCATGGCAGTTGTTTATTTGTATACTAGACTCTGATTGATAATTTTCCAGAGAAAATGAAATCAAGCGATTTGGAATTTATTGATCAGCTGCATCTCCTGTGCATGGTGCCAGAATGACTGGGTGAATTTCTCCAAGCAACCTCACAGCCTGGCTCACTGGCCTCTCATTTATAAATCTTCAAGGAAGTCAGTTAAGTTCACTACATTTGATGCAGATCAAGTTTTTACTTAGTTCAGCACTCTGCATGAGGCACAAATGAGGCAGCACAGACCTTAGCAGAAACACCCTTCATTATATTTGTGTACTTGTATTAACTTCACATTTCAGTACCATTTGGAGAAAGAAAAGGGGATTATTTTTCTAAAAAAGACATAAATTAGACTTGTATCACTTGTATCACATTTGCCTTTGTGAAACAAGGTATGGAAAGTAAGCAACCCATGAAAGGGCTCAGTTGCTCAGGACAGTGGGATTACAACTCTGAGTGACTCTGGAAAATTAGTATAAAAAAAATACAAGGATGATCTTTAGCAGTATAAGGTTGAAAACTGTATGCATGCATGTGAGTAATTAACTGTCCCAATATAAGATAGAGGACAAAGGCTGGCTCGCTCCACCTTCTTCCTCCTCCTCTTCCCTCATCCTCTGCCTCTTGGCACCTCCACCTCTGCCCTCCCCTCTGTGGGTCTGAGGGACTAGGAAGGCTGGAGGGAGAGCAGTGATGATGGTTTTGGAGACAAGGGGCAGGTCCAACATGCTGCTGCCTGCTGCCTGTCCCTGATCTGCTCTTTGCTCGTGAAGTTCTTCACTCCCTGGAGTGGGAGATTTAGGGTGGATCTGACATTAGGAGTTTATTAGTGTGTTGAGTGCACCCCACTGCCCACTGCTGATCCTAAGTTACATAAGAGTCAAAAGTGTTCCTGTATGGAAAAAGTCACTCTTCTGTGCTATGTGTGACGTTGCCAGAGGAGGTAGGTATGCACAGCTGGTGACTGGTCTCCACAGGCACTTCACATTCAAAGCTCCCAGTTGTAGCTGTGCAGTTGGCTGGCTTAGCCTGCATATCCACACAGAGAAATGTTTCCCTTGAAATATTTCCTCTTTAAAAATTGCCTCTTTCTTTAAGCTTCACAGACCTAAAGCAGAAAGGGTCTGGAGCAAGCTCTGGACAGCTATTAGTCATGAGCCTCACTTGACTCCAAATTTGTTTGAAATTCCTCCCTGCCATTATCACTTAAAGCCCTTATTTCTTGGTATTTTTCCATGCTTTTCTTGATTGAATTGCCTTAGAAACTCAATTTGTAGTATAGAAGGCATTGAGTTATTCCAGTATTTTTACCTCACTCATTATATAATTTCTTACTCTAAGGACATAGTCATTCACAGCAGTGTAGAAATACATGAAACAGAGGAAGATAAATAATCATTTTATATAATCTCCTTTTTCCTTCTGAAGTCGAGTTCTTCCAATGTCATTATTCTAGAACGGAATGTTAACAAGATTGGATCCCACGTTTTACAACCTCGTTAGCATGGACATTAACTGAAACATTCTAGGAACTCATTCAGAACCATGTTCCAACATTAAAGGTGAATGTTTGGAATTAAAATTCCCAATCCTGCATCTAATTACATTTTACTGAGACAGTTAGAAAATCTTGGATTCCATTTGCTATTTACAAACATTATTTTAAGTTTATTGTAAAAGGCACATTTTTTTATATATCTTTATAACAGTAAATTGCTATTGCCTTACTAATTGTTTGGTTAATCCTACATGAAATCCATATTTTGGAACTTTGGCTAAAATCATTATTGTAAAGAAGGGCTACAAACAAGGAACTTATGTATATGTATTTGCATAAACCTGCATTTATATAAAGATGTAAGGTTAAAAAATATATTTACCTGTACATCTTTTCTTACATATATATATATACACACACACACGTATATATGTGCTTTTACCTTCCTTTTCTTTTTAATACAATTTATGACTAGAAGCATCACGTGGCATTAAGGACAATCTTATTTGCAAACTTATTTTGGAATTGTAAACAAACAGTGGTGGACAAGTGGTACTAAACAGGAGAACATAAGTGCATTTGTCCCAGGATAAACTTACGTGTCAAAATGTGTATCAGTGTGTTAAATCCTGAGTAATTTTGTCTTGTTTGAATTGACTTTTTTTTTTTTGAATTAAGGAGCTATAACCAAATTAGTGGAATGGAGGAGGGGGGAACTTCAGGTTTTGATCCATTCTGTGGAATTTTACAGAGAAATAGCTTTCTGCTGAACACGCAGGCTGTAGGTCACCACTCTTGTGATCAAAAAAGGAGCATTGGTAACAAAGTGGGATAAGAGACCACAGTTAATCTAATAAAATTTAATTACTTTGCCATGCAAAGAATATTGACCAGTCAAAGTTAGCTCAAATTCCAAACTAACAATAACAATTCTAAACTAACAATAACAATTCTAAACTCACAATAAAACAAACAAAATTGGAAGAACAATCAGAAAATGAAAATGGGCTAAATAAGAACCTGATCCTGATACTTGTACTCACTGACATCACTCTGAATTAAGGCTCCCCGTATTTTTCTACTTTTGTTTGCACAAGTAGTGCAGCAGCAGGCTTCAGGGTTTTTGTAAATAAGTCAATAAATAAACACCCTTGTAAGAGTTCACATGATCACGAAGATTCAGCCACCATTGTGAGTACAGATTCATAAAGATCATAAGAAATGTTTAATTCTAAGCTGAATCCAGTCTGGAAGCTTCATGAGTCTTTGCTGCTGTGTTTCTGGTTTAGCTTGTCACCTCTTTCACAGAATAGATAGGTAATTCATTTCTATATCCAAGACAAAATATTCTGCCTGAAACCCTGTATAATATATCTCATGTGACAGGAGAAGTGATAATGGTGCATGAATACCTTCCCTGCTATTAGATAATCCACGGAAAGAATCTCCTTAAATTGCTGGGGGTACAAAAGGAAAGGAATGGGGTGGAGGGGAATGTCTTGGTTAATAAAGTGGTTGAATATGAAATAGATCTCAGAATGTAGAAGCAAGAATTTACACGTGGATGTTTTCTTAGTTCAGCTGCTACTTTCTCTGATTTCAGTTTTGACTGCCTGCCTATGCTAGACAGCAAAGATTTTTTATAAATACAACTAATGTGCAAAACTCGTGACAATCTATATGATGAAACTTCTTTTTCTTAAGTTTGGGTAGAAGACTATTTTCTGTGGTTTGCTCAAAACATACCATCCTCATAAAATTATCAACCAGAGGCTCATCTTTCAGGAAAGAAGTAATTAAGTCCTAGTTTTTAATTAGATAAAACTTGCTCAAAATCTTTAACATTCCTTCCCCAATTTTACATAGGCAGAGAATTTAGGAGATTATGTATGTACAATTTTATTCTATTTTTTTTTACTTTGAAAGGTGTTAAAATTTTTAAAAAGCAACATAAAATGACAGTGTGTTAAAAAGATAGATTATGTCTCAGTGCATCTTGAGTCATGGAGCATCTTCAGTAATTTATATGGGGAGGGGAAATGCTTTCCATTTAATGAGGATTCCTGAGAATCTAGCAATCCTCAATCTGCTGCTTAATTCATAGGCCCTAACCTGTCCTTCAGCAAGATTTGAGGAAGAAAAGAAGGTGGTGTGGTAGACAAATGAAGCAGTGTGGTAGGCAGGGACACTCTGGTTATCCCAGCACTCAGAGCAGAACAAAATATAGTGAAGGACAAAAAGAAAGCAAAAATGGGAGTCAGATAGCTTGGCAATAAGGAAAGGGTATTCCTGTGTTGAGAAGGCAGGCACATCTGGACAATCACTTTCTCAGGCAGCATTGGCTGTTCCAGGGA